AATCTAACTATATAGGCAGCATCAAAGCAGGGAGGAGGCAACCAATATGTCACCCTCTCATACCCACATACCAAGCCATTGACTCTATGAACCCACTTTGCCAATTGCCTCCAAAGAGCATACTGGTGAGGAGGACCTGTACCTGCTACCCGTAACCAAAACACAAAACTTAAACAAAGCAAAAGTATAGAGGTGGTAATAGACCAAAGTAGTCAGTGGGGCCTATCTCCCACTCATGGTACCTTGCTCCCACCAGCCATACCCATAATCAAACTAAAGAAACAAAACAAATCCCACAAAGCCCAATGCACAAGACCCAGACAAGTCCAACTAGGTGGTCACAATCTACTATCCAAACAAGTGGCTGTCAATCCAGCCAATCTATCAGGGAGCCTTGCAGCACTCAGCAGCTTCACCTAACTACCCAAGCCAAGTCAGAAACACTTAATTAGACCTCACCCAACCTGACGCAAGCCTCACCAGTACTCACAGGTGCATCACCCCCTCCCAGTCAGCCCCCCCTAAGCCCCACACACCAGATACCAGAGAGCCCATCCAGCTGCCTTAGTCCCTGAGATAGATCAACCATCGAACAGTTACAGGATGGCCTATACCTGACCCCATCAGGTAGTCACTGGTCTTGGCCACACTAATAAAACCCCATCCCCCAACACCGCATAGCCAAGAGGAGCCCACCAGTCACACCAGGGAGCCACAAAAGAGGTAGTACCAATATCCTAAGGCACCAGCACCAGCAACATCATCTGACCTAGCGAAGCTGAAGTCCAACCAAGCCAGAAAAAGGTAAGCAGAGCCAGCTGAAACCAGCCCTATACATCAGGCAACAGGTACAGACCAAACGATGGGTAAGAGGCACCCTCAACCGATGTGACAGGAAGGGAGAGGGTGGACGAAGAGAAGCAGACAAACAGAAAGTAGGCCCCACTTGTAATAGGTGAATCTGCCAACCACAATCCACAACTGAACTACTTACACATACAAACAATATGAGTGTCTGGTAGCTAATTGTTTCACACCACCCTAGGCAGTCATGAAAAACTACATTAGGGGTAAGATATTTCAGGGTCAAAGCCATCCCAATTGAAGCGAGGAGGAAACACCTGACTGAACCACTGTAAATACCACAAAAACAAAAACTCAAAGAGAACAGAGATAAACAGCATCGTAGGATTCTGACCGTAGAAACATAATGTAGCAAGAAGAGACTGAGTGGGTATCACATTGCCGCCTGAGGGATGATGTAGTTGATATGACATGTTGAAACTTGGGAAGGTCATCAGTCTATCCCAAAGGCGTTTTTTATTATGAGAACTAAGAACTCTATTAAAACTCAACAAATATGAGCTGGCTCCAAGAACGACACAGGTGATCCCCCTATACACAATATTCAATCCTCCCAAATGAATGCAAAACCCTTTGAGTAAACGATAAACAGGAAGCCAAAGACCTTTTACAGAAAGAGGCTCACAAGTAACTGTGATGAAAGCTCAAAGTGACAGTATTACAAGAAACCATCAGGCAATGAAACGAGCTGCGAATAAGTAGACAAGCCCTCAACCACGCAACAATCCTTACCACCAGGATACTGGTCAAACACATATAACTGCCCAGCAGAAAGAACCATCGTGGGTGCCGAAGCTTACCGACGAAGAAGAATGAAGGCAAGAACAAGGAAAGTACATAGAACACACCGGAAAGAGCCTATCCTTATCAGCCGTACCAGCCTCCTTATATAGTACTCATCCCGCCCCAAATCTTGTGATCCAAAGTGGTCACCTGCACGAAACTAAATTATAACTAACTAGTCATATGACCAAAGTGATCATATACTCAAATCCCATAACCTTATAGTTAGGTCATGTCTGAAAACTCATAAACCAATTATAATACAATAAACAAGTCATATGACCCTAAGTAGTCATATGTGCTAAACTCATAACCCTATAATAAGGTCATGTGTGAAACATAAATCATATGCGCAAGGCATACCCACAAGACATACTTGCAAGACACACTCCCCAGGTGTACATCCTATGACTCACAATTGAGTCATGTGCAAAACATAACAAATCATAACATAAACAAGTCATATGACCAAAGTGGTCATATATGCAAAACAATAACATACCTATGACTCATAATCATGAGTCATGTAAAAACCTTTTCCTTCCTAAGCCACGTTCATGACAGATGGTTGCAATTATGACTACCTTCGCAGAGACAATATACAGATGAAACTGATCATCTCATCAATGATAGAGACAATTAGGGCCAACTTAGTTCGACTTGAGAACTGGGCTATAAGTCTAAAGCCTCTAATAATCGGATAATTACTATTGGAAACAGTATAGTTCCTAGTTAGCAATATTGTAATGCCAAAGAGGGTGTGGTGATTTTTAGGATCTCTAGGTATTGGCACCTTTGAAGAATACCTGACGTTGTATGTTATAATCAGAGAGGTACATAGTTGTATAATAAATACAAGTAGTCCACGAATATTCTGACACAGAATATAGATATCAAAGTATCTCCCAAGCTTTAGACATCATCAAGTAATGGAGAAGAGACCTTAACAATATAATATTCTTCTTACAATTCTATTCTACTTTACCTACTTTACTTTGCTCTTAGTAGTCATAAACGAAACAAGTGTAATTCAAGCCTTTCTAGACAATTTCCATCTACAGAAACGAATCTTAGTTGACCTAAACAACTCTAAGTCTATACAGGTTATCTCCGCCTAACAGTAACAGACTTTGGTTACCTTGCTCATAGGCCTCTGGTAATCTTACATACTACTTCTAACTTTACAATAGTACTACTCCATCAGTTCTAATCTATTTTATGAGAAACCACCAGGAGGCCATTCTCCAGGTTCTCCCTTTACTCCTTATATATCCTGTCAGCAGCAGGAAAGTATACAGTATTACAGGAGTATCTCTACTTGTAGATGTTTACTAAACTTACAATAACTCTAGTCTGTTGCCAATGATGCTAGGAACTTATAACAAGGCCAGAGGGGATTGTTAGCCACCATATATCGAAGTTACAACTTATTCAAAGCATAACTATGTATGTGGAAGTGATCTACACAACTTGAGATTCAAACAGCCTATGTTTTTGTGTAACAAAGAATCTAGTAATTTCTCCTGAAGTTCTACATAACACGTTATTTTCGAGGTAGGATAACCTGCAGTCCAAGGCAGGATAACTCTAGTCCAAAGATAGGGTAACTCTACCTCAACTCACTGCTGAACAATTCAGAATAACTCCCACATTAACTATGTGGATTACCCTACCCAGTAGGGTAACCACTGTTCCTTACTAGTACTTATGTATCATACCTCTAGTCTGGTATGGTATATCCAATTAAGGTACCTAACTAATAGTACCCCTACTCAGTAGACTCTTGTCTACCACCATTCCTATCCTGGTAGTCTCTTGATACTGGTATGAGTATAGGTTTGGCTAACTATAATAGTACTCTTTAGAGTCTTGTTACAAATACACAGCTGACACATCTGATGTGGGTTTTTTTCTTGCTAATGTAATAGTTATAGGATTCAACTCTCCATGATAACATATAGGCCCAATAATGGAGCTGGAGGGGGACTTTAGCAGAAAGATTTCTCAAATTATAGTATAGTTACTCTACTCTGTATACTTTACAACCTCACAATTTCTACAATAATATCTAATAAGTGTAGTACATATTATCATAATACTTTACTTTAATAAAATTGTTGTGTAATTACTGACTCAGAATCATCAAGACCTCAAGTTTGTCTAGTGACTGTACCTATAGACATGGGAACAACCAGGGGAGTAAGGGATAAAATATTCATAATTATCTGAAAGGTTGAAGGAATATAGTAAGGGATTTGTCATTAAAGCTGCCCTATGTAGTCATGGCCTTTACTTTACTAGTACCTCTTGACGTACTTGATATTATTAAAATACCAGTACTACTACTGATGTATCTTTTCCAAGAAAGTTCACCCCACACTCCTACTTTCACTATTTGTTCTCAGAAATATATTGAAGCTAGGATGATGCCGGACTCTAAATACTGGCTGACATTAGGAACAAGGACAGGGATAAACTTGGAAGTCTATAAAATTGACGGTGTTACTGCTTTTGTTTGGTAACATGCTCTATGGACTGCTCGACTAATGACCGATTTTCACTTTTAAGCCATACAAAAACGAGTGAGAACTCATGAATTACATGATTCAACAGCACAACCGCAGACGAGTAGACAGAAAGTGATGGACTGTGACAATGAAGATAGCATATACCAGTAAAAAGGACAAATAGAAAAAGCCTACCTTTCAAACAGGGATAGCACAAAACTACAAACTCCTGGACCAGAAGATCACGATCACTGCTTGACGTCTACCGCCTCCTCTGTAAATCCCCATCCCATATATCATCTTGGTTTCAGTATCAATAGGTAAAAACGTTATGAAAGCCAGTTCACGTGTTTAATAATTCCCAACAAGTAATTCCCCACCTGCGAACAATGTAACTTCACAACACAACTTACAAATTTTATTCCCTTCCGCGGTATTCCGTATTCGAGGGAAGGGAAGGGAGTGCACTGCGCTGTATGAACCATCATACTCGTCACAGAAAAAAAATCCAGTGGTCTGAGATAATTACTGGAGTCGCTGCTGAGATGTCGTATCATACTTCTACGCCGTCTTCCCGCATAGTGTTCAATATATACAGACCTAGGGAGTGCGAGAGTACACCTGGATGCTAAATGACGATAATATCACTCTCGGTGCTGTATATAAGGTTCTTTAGTCCAAAGGTTGTGTTATAGCGGCGATATTAGGAGAGGTATTATTGACCCCGCAATTGCTCCCTCTTCACCTAGTCCAACGTGATTCTGTGAAATGTCACGACAGTTCAGGGTAGAACCCAGCGCTTATCGTGCGGGCGGGCGGGATATAAGCATGATGGAGGTACCTGAGTTTATCAATCTATCGTTTATATTTATAGCTCCCCTTCTCACTAATATCCCAACATCATTCAATCAAGCCGGAAATCCAGTTCAAGAATTAAAAGCAGTTTCGGTAAGGAAAAACAAGAAGAAATCAGGGCGCATTGCCACTTCAGGATCCCAGGCTGTGCTGTGAATAAAATGAGAATACCTAAACTACCAAGGACAAACGTGCAGGAATCTCTATGCCGCTGGACTTGGGTCAATATGAGATAACTCATACAAAAAACAAAGCCATCCTTTGTGAACTGTTCTCACCATCTAGTGCTTTCCGGTTGGGGTTTCGCCAGTAAGCTTTGCAACAGCTTCTTTGGCCCTAAATTTCAAGCGATGTTAGAAGATCTCTTGGAATATGGGATAAGTAGAACGCACATATCACCCAAACCGACCATGCAAACTGTTTGCCAGACACCGAGACCGATTCTAGGAGTGACACCACGGTACAGACCCTTCAAGCCGTTGTTCTCGTAGATATACTTAGCCGCTTTGGCAACAGTCAGATTCTTAGGACGATTGGGATCCGCCTTCTTGCTTTGCATTTCCACCCGGATAACCTAATCCATCAATTTAGTATTCCAGCTCTCTACAACAGCAACCACAGATCTTCGGTCACTTATACCTCGATAGGTTGGTTCCATGCACTTAAACCTCCGCCAACAACACTGGCTCCAATCTTCTCCCACGCGCTCAATCTATCGCCCTCCCCCTTGCCGGTCGCTTTGCGAATACCTTGCTCCGCGAGTCTGCTCAATCCAAACCTGCTACCCCAATTGGTCATCTGTCTGATAGCGACAGCGTTGACACCCTTGTTGATCCCAGCAATACCTTCCTTTCGGTAAATATCGGCAAACACAGACCAAGTACCCTGAGGTTTTACTCCAGTGGAAGCTTGCTTGTGACGTGTAATCTCGACAGTCTTCATGCAAGTGCAGAATCCCATAGTAGCGTATGCCTGAGCGACACCACCGATTACACCACCAGTAATACCAGCGGCGAATGGACCAGCTCCAAAGGTGCGAGCATGATACCTATCCAGGGTGTCAGCCCTTGCGCAGCAGATCCCGAATACCCCTTCAAATCCGCAAAACAAATCAATTGGTTTACCAAAGTCACTTACTCGGCTTCAGAAGCAACAAACATAAGGACGGCTCCCTTAGTGGACGCTTCAATCCATGCCTAGACGAAAATTAACGCCACAATCAGTTTCCGATCGCTAAATTCGACCCGGCAATCTCCGGCTGCGGCTCGGCCATGCTATTTGGACATAACGCAAATTCGAAGAAAACAGACAGGCTATTAAGACATATGATAGCCTCGGAAGAAGGAAAGAAAGCAGACTAACCCATGGAATTAACCCTTGGTAGACTGTAAAGGTTAAAGAGAAAATCAGCCTCAGCCTTGCCAGGACGGGGTAGGAGGGGAAAAGCTAGACTAAGGTGAAGCCAACGCACATCCAAAAACTCCTCCACGACCCCACGTCTTCTTGAACGCAGTAACTATGTTATCACCTCTATTGGCAGCCATATGCGTCTAAAAGCGAACAATATGTTAGCTATCTTCGCCTCAATTCGCGCGTTGAGAATGGAAAAAATCGTACCTTAAGAACCTCCAAGGGCTATTCATTGATCAAAAAAGGAAATGTCAGCCATCATGGCATTATTCAGTGGTCTCTTGGGGTCTGAATCATACTTGGCCCAATGTGGTGACTCTATACGCAAAATTACCAAGCAATTAGCTCCGGGAGTCCCATAGGATTTATAGGAACCCGGGAGGAAACTTACTCAAACATATTCAATCCACCGCCCACTGTCACAATCACAGTCAGCACCTTTTCGTCCTTTCCTAGGATATGGGAAACGTACAGAGCAGATTGGAGAAGCTCACAGGCTTCTTCTTGGGCGGCTGAGTAGAATCTATGGCGGCCATCGATGACTATTTGTATGAGAAACAGGGTCCTGACCAAGGACTGTATATAGCTCTGGGTGCGAGGATGCAAGGAGCCGCAAGAGTCGTTGGAGCGAAAGGGGCAGAAGTCGCTAGAGACTTCCGACAAACCAAACGACCGAGGAGCTACACAGAGATGTGGGTTCAAAAGCTCACAATAACCCGAACAGGAGAGATGGGGGGAAGGAAGGGTGAGAAGAGAAGGAAGGGGGTGGTAGAGGGGATGAGTTGTTGGGGAGGTGAGAATGGAGGGAAGAGTAAATATTTTCGGGCTGGAAAAGATTGTTGAGTAGCCTTGCCCACAGTGGTCGGATGCACAACGATTTTGGTGAAGCGGCAGGGCTGGGCATGCCCTCTCACGCCTACCGGCAGTGGGGGATCCGAGTATCACAGCATATCGCTCGAAAGCCCGAATAATGTCATTAATAGGGCTTTAAATATCGACGGAAAGACCCCAATTCTGTTCGGGGTATGGTACCTTAATACTTTATTACCCCGATTGTCCCCAGATTTGCCCTTCCCTTCTTTTTCAACTTTCTGTACCTGAACCCCGGCTTGCTGGGCATTAGGAGCCCCAATAGTGACCTAGTAATGGTGTAGTACCGGTAGTCTCGGCATCCGTCCCCGGACCCTGAATGGGCCCGACACAATAACTGGCGCAAAAGTTCCGGACAACCGAAATCTCACACCGGCAAAGACATTTTACCCAGAGACCCCGAATATCCATATACTAGTACCAGCACTTGCACACCAAAACTAATACAGCTCATCGGAGTCATGTGATAGACATTATAAATGCGGACCGGGACAGTACCGGTGAGTTGCAGACGGATAGACATTCAGATATCCAAGACCAATTAACAGGTGAACATCGCTCGGAAGAAAATAACACCTGCGACGATCCACCAGGGGTTGAGGTCATAGATATATCTAGTTTCTGGCTTTAGATTTTGAGTCACGTATGATACAAACATTCCTTTTTACCCCCAATGAAGCTACATCACACCAACAAAGCAATGAACTCCCTTCCCTTCCCTATCGAACAAAAAGAAACCAACAAATCAGTTCTCGTAATGATAATTTAACAAAAAATCATAGGGAGGCGGGACAAGCAAGAAATAGAAGTCTATTATAGTTATATCCCCCCACTCCCACCAAAGACATGGGAAAGCGAAAAAGAACGAAAGGGAGGAAGACAGCTATGCACCGACAGCCGTTTCCCTTGGCCGCCATGTATCTTCTTGTCTTGCTCCCGGAGCGAGCCAGGCAGAGTTGCCGGCAACTTGCCCATTCCCTGCCTTCTCTCCTAAGCCTACTGCATAGCCGTTCGCTCCATTTGGGCGGAGAAATCTCCCAGGTAGCGGTGATTGTTTTCCACTCCTTGCGGTGATGGGAAGAAGCGGCTCAAGGGCTTTTGTTTGCTCCATAAGGACCCTACGCTCACCTCTCGCAACGTCTCCGGCTCTATCGTAGAGATATAGGCCAAAGAACCTGTGCGCCAATTTCATTAGCAGACCAGGCTAACCCTCCAGCCTCCTGTCAAAAGAATCGGATTGCTTACGTCAATGAAATACCAACAGCCTGTACAGTTGTAGTCTTGTTACCAAACCACACAATTGCCATAACAATCACGAATATCCGCTTGATCAAACTTGCAACGCTGTAGGTGACTGGGCTGACAAGACTCAACAATACAAAGGCAATTATGTTCTGGCCAAAGTGGACTGTCCCATTGAATATAAACTGCATCACAAGTTCATGTCCTGCCAGTGGTTCCTCTCCGTGTTTCCCAATTCGATCCAACAGTGGGATTTTCCCCTCACGTGTATAGATCTGAAGAAGCTGAAACCCCTCAGAATAAAACCAGAGGGGTAATGTAAGTAGAAAGGCCATTCCGGATGAATAACATAGCAAGTTGAGTTTGTCTAACTTCCTCTTATGAGGTGGGACTGAGGGATCCGCACCAGTTGACGACGACTCGTTAAACAATTTTTTCGAAAAAATGTTTTGCGACACGAAAATGATCGCCCCAATGAACGCACAGGTGATTCCCCACAAATTACCATGAAACTCAACAGAACAGGCCAGCATGACACCAATGGTGAGAGGGAGAAGGGATATGTAGGTCGCCCTCGAGTAGTTGATTTTGAAGAGAAGACGGTAGGCAAACACGGTGAATAAAGGTGACATTCCCTGCAAAGATAATCACTCAGCCTCATGACATTTAAGGTTTGGATGAAGCGAGAACAGACCTTGATTGTATGTACTAAGCTCACTGGAATCTTTTGGGTCGCAATGCTACTTGCAACATGTCCTCCTACTTGAAATATGGCTAACGGTGCGGTAGTTGCAATCACAGCTCTTGTAGGAAATCTCAGTCCGCCAGCAAGACCGGGTGCCGATCGTAACATAGTGAATTTTGCGAAAACTGAGAGTAGGATGCACCATGATGAGACGAATGCGAATTGAACGACTGTGAGGGTTACGGGCTGAGGGAACGAATTGAGTATTGTTTTCGAAGAGGTGTTTGATAGCGCAGAAGACAGATACCTGCGGTTTGGGGGATTAAATAGATGCGCTGAAGGAATGTAACGACCCAAGACGGGAAATACCAAATCAAGCATAGTGCCTGTGGGGAGAGGAGGTCAGATATCGTGCATATTATTCACTCCAGAGAGCAATTTCCCAACTCACGATAAGTTTTGGGCTGAGCGGAGCCTTCAAGGAATCTGCTATCTCGCCCGCAGCCTGGGCTACGCTTCCACTTCTACCCCTGCCGTACCTCATCTTCCCCAAAACCTGTGATGCAGTTCGAGTATGCGAATGAGTGTGATGAGGGGCAGCTCGAGGTTGCCAGTATTCCTCCGGCTTGGGGGGGGAAGGAGCGCGCGCGGCCGAAGACGTTGGGAGAACAGTATTCCCGTTGCCAGAGGGAAACTCGAAGGCAGCGATAGGAGGGGAACGGGAAGGCATGGCTGATACCGTATCTCAACGGTTTTATTCCCTCTGCGTGTGGGTAGCGGGCGTGGGGGATTGCGCGGGAACTTGGGAACAAGGTTAAACGAGTGTCGGCGGCGATAAAGCTATCATTCGGAGGACACAAACACAGTCAGTGCCAGGGATGAAGAGGATGGAAGTAAGGAAAGAGTGTGGAGATAGAGATATACAAGTGCAGAAGTGAAGAAGCTAGAGAAAGAGAAGACTTGTGTTGTGCTGGTTATTGAAGGTACTTCCCTTTTTCTCCCCCTTCTTCGGGAAGCTGAAATTTAGCTTTCCGCAGTGAGATATCGGGATGGCGCTAACCGGAAGTGTGGGCGTAGGGCAGATTCCCGGGGTGGCGTTGGGTCTTGATTGGGAATGGGGGCTTCTATTTTTTGTGATACAAGTATTATGATACTGTGATATTATGATAAACAACGCCGGCAATAAATTTACAGGGGCTCGGGAGCAACCCTTACACAAACCACGTCAAACCCGCCTACCGGTATGTTACTGCAACGGTAAAGCCGGTCTTCCACCCTCCATTGTCCAAGCGATCAATACACGTGTTTTGCTCGAGCACTTGGTCCGAGGAGTCCAAGCCACCGATACCAGCAGATGGGGTCACACCTCCGGACCCTATGATAAAGTGGCGGACACTGAAAATATCTTACTAGTATCATACCCGGAATTCATGCTTGCTTACGCAGTCAATCACTTTCTTCCTGGATTAGACTATAATTATATTATGTAAGCACAGACCGGTTTATACTGCCTCATTGGGTGTAGCACCACCGAGATATTGCTCCAGATGAGTTGTTAGCTTGGGAAGTGTTAATTTGGCAGCTCTCCTCTCACACAAATGGGCTAAGGGGTTGTGAGGGGAGTTTGAAGTTGGCCATATTTCAGGTTGGTTGGGGGGTTGATTTTTGTTGTCCGGCACTGTACAAGTAACTCGTGAAGTCCTCATATCATCTTTCAGAGGTAAACCAGCCCAAGGCACAGCATGGCATTCAACCTCATTCCACTTATAACTTAAGGACTCGCTTTTCTTTTCAAGGGCGGGTGCGATATTTCACACAGGGAAACATTCTGTTCCTACTATGACAAGTCACTACCGTAGTATTATATCCCACGAAATCGTATAGATAGTTGCCATAGCACTGGTACCACGTCCTAGCCGCCCCAGTACTCGCCAGGAATAACGTGGTGAATATCGGCTCCTACGCTATATAACTTAACACTCGGGCAGTGCCATTGGTTATCGTACAAGTATGGCAGTATATACCATGGCGCCGATGATAAATTGGCGTCAACCAAACCACTGCCACACCCTAGATATGAAAATGGAATCGTGAAAACAGGTATCGAGGCGCTCGAGTTCCCGGTTACTGGCACCATAATCCATAAGATTGGTTTTAAAGTAGATGGAGTAATAGCGGGTTACTATCCAAGAGCTTTGAGGGCCTCTTTGACCAGTTGACGTTGCTCTTTTCCAGTGAGGAACTCGCTCTGCTGAATACATCTCATTACACAGAGCGTCGTCTTGGGATCTCCACTATGTACCCAAATCCTCCCGTTTCTCCCAACGGCAAGCTCGAATGACAGACTCTCGCCCAATTCCTCCAACACTTCCCTTCCGGAGCTCATATCGACTCCGACATCCTGGTATTCTTCCCCCTTTCTCCCCGCTTCCGCCTTTCTTTCCCTCACCCTGAGCAGCCTGGTTTTCTTCGCATCTCCAAGTAGCCTCCTGGCCATTCCTAGACTAACTCCGAAGACAAAACCTCCCTTCAGTTCCCCAAACCCCTCAGATTTGCCGCTGTCAGCATCGTAACATTCTAGTTCGGGATCTATATGCTTGTTTGCGAGGCTTATGCGGGCATAGACAACTGAGCCTTGATGAAGCACGGGTCGAGTTTTCTTCGTTGCTTGAGGAAACGCGAGGTGAGGTAATACCGCCTGGCTTGCCGATGGGACTGGTGAATTTGAGGAGGGGATGGCACAGATGTAAGAGTCCGCGGTAGACCGAAGAACTGTAGCTATGATGGCATCATTTTGAGAAGCAACATACTACCGGTATTTAATTCTCTTATTAGGATTGCATCTCTTTTGGTAACTTCAAGCATGGAAATACTCACACGTTTACTGTTAGACTCCATCCAGATGGTGTGCTTTCGCTGGTCTATGTTGAGTTCTCCAGCTCTACTGACGATAAGTGTCGAAGGTGAAATATGCGTTAGACCAGGGCCGACTTTGAAGGTCGTGTTTTTCTTCTCGTCCTCAAGTGGGGGGAGAGTTTCCCCCGGAAAGCGCACCTGCACCACTAGGGACATGGTGATCTTTGGAAGGGAGGGTATGATGAAATTGGCTGGCGGGGTGCGGGTGGGTGATGGTGCGGTAGGGCGATAAGATGCTGCCTTTGATTGTCTCAAACGTGGAATTGGCTGAGGCAAGAGGCTCAAGCCGAAAAAGCTCCCCAGCGGCGGGAATGGCAGGGTCTAGCGCTTCACGTGATACTGCACTCTTTTTAAGGGTGAAACCCGACCGCAACTGTGCCTTTTCCTTTCTCCTAATTTCCGTCTCAGCAAATCCCGACGGCCTAATCTAACCACCTAGCACCCCCCCACCTTCGGATCGCGTATCATACTAGATTTCTCGGGACTGTGCATGCGATAGAGTCTACAACATCTTTCCCTTCCCAAGGGTGTATCCGCTCCTCTGACAGAAGGCGACCTGCCTAATGACCAAAACATCGAACAACACAGCGGCTCGCCTCGGGAGCAACAGCAAAGTAATAATGAGTAACGAGCGGGCAGTTGCGGCGGCGTTGGTTGACTGGGTAAGTGGATCCCCCGCTACCTTTATTTAAACGCGTGTACGATGGAAGACAAGGAAATCGTAAAGCGTTAAAAAAATCTGATCATAATCATGCGGCCAGATCAACGCGTGCCCCATCGAGCGGAAGATCTCAAGTTTACGAGAGCTTAGTGACGGATCCGTCATAACGAAGGTTCTACGTATGTTTCCGGAAGATCATCCTACCACCAAAAGCTTGAGAACTAGGACTTGAAAGGTTAATTGCAGATTAGTGGCTATCGACCCATATTACTTCAGGTCTACGGCCTCAAGCTCTGATGGAGCAGGAAGAGCAAGTACAGATGCTCATTGGGTCATAAAATTCCACAAGTGTAGGATCTGCGCATAGGTTCCCACATCTCGAGGCGACACATTTAGTATGACTGACATGGTGACTTCTCGAGGCCTTAATTAGTGAAACGACTGCACAAGGAGCTGGCAAAGTATTATACCGAGAACCTTGGCCACCGATTACCCAGTCCTCCACCAAACCTTACACTTATTGCGAAGGATGGAAATGTAGAAGAGAGTATCAAGGTTGGTTTCAGAGACTCCCAGCTATCAAATTGTTGCCGACCGCCGATGGGATATAGCTTGCCAAAATCGTTGTCGCATCGGCTGTGCAGAGCGAGAAGCGAGAAGAGTATATTCAATATATTCAGGAGCTGAGCCCGAGTTCGCAGACGGAATTGATGGGTGTCATTAGTGAGGTTTGGTGTTCTAAGCACGTTATGAGTTTGTTTTGTTAATCTATCAGGACAGCTAATTGTACTGTCTGATATTAGATGATGGAGGCTGGCGGGGGTGAAGACTCCCCCGACATCGCCTCTGAGCAGCCGAGGTCAGAACTGCGTGTCTTCAGCACCTTTCTACTTGTTGTCTAATTCAAAATTTTGTGCAGAAATGACAGCGACCACTTTCGCATGGAGGAAGAAATGGCACGATTAGTCGCTGATAATGAGGCTGTCAAGGCCCAAAACAAGTCTCTTGAAAAGCGTCTAGCAAGTTTGCAGAATGATTTTGTGAGTTAAAACACTAATTTCAAAAACGGCTAAACTAACTCGGTTGCCAGGAAGAAAGTCAATCACATTTACTTGTGCTTCAAGATCAATTATCGAGCAGTGTGGTGGATAGAGGGGGATATGCAAATCGCACGGATCCCATCATGAGGTCTCAGCTTGACCAGCTCCAGAGCGATGTACAAAAACTCGAGGATGTCATTGCCGAAAAAGAATCAACTATCGGACAGCTTGAGGGTACTATATCAGGCCTTAACAGACGGGTAATAAACGTTCTGGGTCACTGAGATAATCCTTTGCGCTAATGTTTTTGGAATATAGGTTGAAAACTTGTTCCCAAAGGCAGAAGCTGCAATTAAGTACAAGGACGATCTTGATGAAGCCAACCACACCATAGATAAACTTAAAAAGAGTCAAAATGTGGCAGAAAAATACCGGAAGAAACTGGAAGGTATGGGGGAAATGGAGAGGGAGATCAAGGTGAATACGGTCCTTTTCTCTCTCTTTGCGATCACAGTCCTTTACATCACAAACTATCCCTGAGCTGTTTCCTCACACGCTGTTTTGCTCTGAATCTTCTAGGCACTGGAACAGCAAAATACTCAAATGAAGCAAGATCTCCGCGCTGGCCATGAGAGCTCGAAGCAGGTACCTGGTCTCAAGCGGACTCTCGACCAATACAAAAAGCAAATTGACAAGGTTGAAGCCGAGTACGCCGACCTGCTACGAGCGAAAACTATCTTAGAGATTGACCGGAATACGCTCAGAGAAAAAGCTGCCGGTGCCGAGGGCCAGAAGAGCAAGGATATGGAGCGTATACAGAACCTCGAGGAGAAGGTCCGTGAGCTTGAGACTGGTGTAATAAGTAAAACCGTTGAGGAGACCAACGGGGATCTGGATTCGGAGTTAACCTATAGCACGAAGACCAAAACTGATCTGTAAGTAGGATACTATCTTCCCTACATTGCCGTGTTAGGCGAGCAACCGCCTTCCTAACCTGAGCCAAAATGATGCACATAATAGGAAGCTCCAGATATCTCGGTTAGAGAGCGAATTGTCTCAACTAAAGGAAGGAACTAGTGGTACAGATGCAGACAATGTTATGTTACAACATATGCTAGATGATGCCACTAAAGCGAAGGACAAACTTGAGCAGGATTACTTGCAAGCACATACCGGAAAGCTTATCCTGGAAGCACAACTAGCTGCAATTAATGGTGGTTCCTTTACTGAAGGGTTTGTGGTCCCATTTGATATCGTATCATAGGCTCTACGTACTGATTGACAACCATTTTTCTTTTAGGTCCGAGGTCATGCTCAAACTACGACAAAACCTTGTTGGTGCGGAAGAGCAACTGATTGACCTGAAACGGAAATTTGCTGAAGTTGATGCCGAGCTTTCGGTGACGAAGAAGGAACTTACCACCGCAAAATCTGATTGTTTGTACTCCTTAACACCCCCCACACTTCATCCTTCTCACACCACAACGTTTCCCCATTCTACTCTACCAATATTTCTCTGCATCACTGCTGTTTTTACCCTTACCACTCTGTACATCGCAAAGATGGTTCGGGAGCTAATTCTGAGTGACCCCGATTCAAAAGTGAACCTAGTCGGGAAGGACAAAGTGGAGGCGCTGGCCGAACTTAAGATTATAAATTCCCAGGAGCTTATCGAGCTTCGCGGGAAGCACGAGGAGGCCCAGCACAAAATAAGCGGTCTTGAGACTGAGATCGACCAAAAGAAGACTCTTCTCAGTACCGTCTTGTTAGAAAAGGATGAAGTTTCCAAGAAGCTCTCCGAACAAAAGGATATCATCTTGGAGAATGAAAAATCCAATAGCGAACTTAGAGCTACTATTGCCACCTTCCAGGGCACCGCTGAAGGTCGAGATGCGGCTCTTGAGAAGCGTGTTTTACAGCTCCAAGGGAAGTTGGAAGACCAGAGGGAAAAGATGTTCAAGGCTCGCGAGGTACTTCATCTTCCCATCCCTCCTTCCTGGCGAAGATTATTCTTAACACGGAACCACTACCACAGCATATCAAAAAGCAGAATGTCATTATCAGGGACCTCAAAGAGAAGGTCGACACGGCCGAATCCACTACCCCAGACGCAACCACAAAATCCAAGGAGGAGCAGCTCGCTGAGAGTGATGTTTGTTTCCCTTTTTTCATCCGATAATAAGTCCACATAGATTATTGACTCCCCAAATAGAGGAAGAGACGCGCCGAGCTCGAAATCCTCGAGAGGGAGAACAAAATGATCGCGTCAGCCTGGTACGACCAGGCCACTAGACTGCAGATGAACAGCGTCGCGCTCGAGAGGAAAGGCGATACACCACATAGTTGGTTGAACAGGCAACGCGCTGCCTTGGCCAAAGCTGGCGGCGTCTAACCAAAATTTAATTAAGTGATGAGAAGCTGAGTATGATGATAACATGTGCGTGTACTGTGATCAACTTTTTAATCAAGTCCTACCGATTACGATACGATAATAGAATTCAAAGTCTCATGTGGCGTTTCTGTTCTGTTCTGTAGAAGATTTGTCGAATTTCCCTTCCTTACAAATCATGTTCTCCTTTTTTTGCTTGATCACCCGCTCCCCCCTGGAAGACACCATACTGCAGTGGAGTTTGTGCGGGGGGGTATTCACGAATTTCTTTCTTTTCCACGTAGTAAATGCTAGCAATATGACGAGGAAATGATTGGCGCGGGGGCTAATTGGCTGGGGGGTTGGCTAGCTGGTGGAATGGAGTAAGATTTCGCAGGTTTATGTTCGTCAAGCATCCTTTGTACTGTACTTTGTGCGCTACAATATCATACCCAGTTTCTTTTGTTAAGAGAAAGGAATAGTATATGTTAGTAGGGAACACAACCAAGCCCCCCAGGGCACTTTTACCAGTATCACATCATATGATATCATCCTTGTGACTAGTGCCAACTAGTTAGGTTGTCGTGCTAAGATGGGGTGGCCTATGACACTAGTACAGTGCTTGCAAATCGACTGTTAAAGTATAGTAGAGAGGTTCGAAGTTCTCAGTACACCTCAACCTGAGTACACAATACTGCACAAATACAGGTGTACCATTTTGAATGTCGCCAGCATCAAACTGCCATTATGACAGGTGTATCCGCTGAGCTTTCCAAGCATTCTGGGTGCCATCATCTGGCCAGAAAGGAATAGGACGGTTGGCACTGCTATGAAAAATATTTTCCTCTTTACTCTCTTCTGCCTAGCATTAGGAACAAAGTACTGTACTGTACCTCTAGACCTAGTATGCTGTGTACCTACTCGCCAAAAGGTTTACCATGTATGATACCGTATTTTCCAAGAGATATGCCTCTATCGAAACACCTGTACCTTCCATGTCCCGAGAACTTCGAACCTCCCTAGTACGAGTATCATACAAGTATTCTACTTTTCCGTACCGGTACATATCATACTGGTATCACCTTGCCCGGCTTGGCTTAGACTAGCAAACTACGATACCAGTAGTAGTCCCAGCCATGCCAAGCCTGATGAAACAGGTGACACCAAGCCAAGGAAGCCTAAACCGGGCAAAACCCCCTAGGCTACCGTAACTTACCGGTACCCCACTATCCTCTTATCAGCCAGACCAACAAAAGCCCTTCACAAGAATTCACTCGACCACCTGCAACTCCACCGCCATCATAACAATCTTAACCACCACGACCATGCCACTGCCCCACTTCCCGAATGAGCTAATCCTACAAATCTCCCAGGAGTTATCCACACCAGACTTGAAGTCCCTCCTAAGCGCGAACCGTGCACTCAAGGTGCTGCTACAATTGCCATTATACGATAGCATCTGCCGCAGCGAGGAGCTCATGGTAAAGTATGGCGAGAGCGCCATGCACTCTGCCGCCACCCGCGGTGATGAATTGGCCATCGGGAGGCTTTTGGAGAGGGGTATCCTAAGTTGTATCGATCAGGACAAGTTTCTGGAGAGGATTGTGCGGAGCTTCAACGAGTTGGCCTTGCGAACGCTACTGAACGGCGGATTCGATGCGAATATGCGAAACTCCAGTGGAAGGACGTTACTATCTTTGGCAGCTGGGGGAGAAGGGGGGTGTGCGCGCCAGGTTCTGCTGGTGCTCAAGTTGCTGCTGGAGAGGGAGTCTGTGGATGTTAATGCCACTGACTTGACCTACCGCACACCGCTGATGCACGCGGTTCGCGAGGGGGACATGTCCGCCGTTGGGGCGTTGCTGGCTGATAAGCGCGTGGACGTCAACCTCACGTGTCCGGACGGGTGGACAGCGCTGCAGCACGCGGCGGGGGTGGAGAACGAGGAGGTGATAGGGCTGCTGCTGGGGCACGGTGATATCGAGGTTAACCCTCGCACCGATCTCGGATACACTCCGCTGTCCTCCGCCATCCGTGGCGAGAAAGGGGTCGCCGTGCGTACACTCCTGCGCGATCCCAGAGTCGACGTGAACCTTTTTGATAATTGCGGTCAGGCGCCGTTGCACTACGCCGCTGACTTGGGGGTCGATGAGTTTGTTCGGATGTTGCTGAGTGCCGCGGACATCGAGGTTAACCTCCGGGATTCCAGCGGCTGGACGCCGTTGTGCCATGCTGCCATGCTGGGTAAGGAAGGGGCTGCGCAGATTCTACTTGGAGATGAAAGGGTACAGGTTAACCTTGGCAATAAGCACAACGAAACACCGTTGGCTATGGCAGCGTCAAGAGGATACCATAAGATCGTCAAGTTGCTATTGGGACACCCGGATATCCAGGTCAATTCTCAAGATCATTCGGGGCGAACACCCTTAAGTTTCGCAGCAGCTCCTATGACACACGAGCATAGCAATGTGGTGAACTACGGAGAAGTCGTCCGTCTGTTGCTCGAGGACGGGCGAACGAACGCCAACCTCCCAGACACATCGTTCAAAACCCCCCTTCACCACGCATGCAAAAACTCGCAGCTCGGAACCGTTAAGCGCCTCCTAGCCCACCCATCCGTAGACCCCAACCCTCAAGACTCGACCCGCTCGACCCCATTATCCCTCGCCGCCCACGCGGGCGGCAACGTGGTTGGCACAGAACCAACTGTGGATCTCCTCCTCTCAGACCTCCGCGTCCTTGTAAACCTAAAAAACGAAGACGAATTAACCCCCTTCCACCTAGCCGTCGAGTATGCAAACATCGCCGTCGTCTACCGCTTTCTCTCGGACCCACGTGTCGATGTAAACTCCAGAAACCTCACCCTCCAGACACCCCTGCACACAGCCGCGACTGTCACGAGCCCATACCAGGACCATGTCGTCGAGATGTTGGTCGCGCGTCCAGACACGGACGTCAACCCCCGCGATCAAAACGGGATGACACCGCTGTCCGCTGCTCTGGAACCGCTTGTCACCTACCGTGAGCCGGCGGACTTAGAGAGGCTTGTGGATACCTTTTTAAAGTGTAGCAGGGTGGATGCCAATTTGCTAGATAACCAGGGGAGAGGGCCGCTATATTTTGGAGTAACGAGGGGCGGGGGTGTGAAGGTACTTGAGATGCTACTCCAACATGAGGCAGTCGACGTTGGGGTTAAGGATTTGGAAGGGAGGGATTTGTTGGAGGTTGCGGAGGCAGAGGAGAGCGATATTACGGTGAAGCAGGTTTTGAGGAAATATCTTGGTAGGGGGGCGGACGGTGACGAAGAGGGGAGGGAAGATGGGGAGGGAGGTGGGGAGGAGGTCGAGGAGGAACTTGATGGGGCGGTGGGGTAGATTTTCCTGCTTGGAGACGATATGGGCGTATAGGGAGAGCTCAGTCGGGAGGACTTTCCTTGGAAAGGTTTTGATGCACAATACACTCATGAGCGGAGGGATATCCTGCTCTAGTAGCATCTAGCCTCCAGAAATACACCAATAAACTGATGAAATCTATTGGGTATACTGCAGCACCTAAGCAAGGCATTGAATACTTGACAAATCGTTACTACCACGTCCGATGCATAGACTCTCCATAAATGCCAATAAAACGAGATGCCCCGTTCAAGATTAATAGCGGGCTCTCTCATTTTCGCTCTATAGGCTCTAACTCGAGCTATCTAGTAGGTGCCCAATCTTGTCTAAAATCACACATAGCACAAACCTGGAACCAAAATCCCCATTCTGCCAATTAATGATATATACGATACAAGCCATCCAAACCAACACTATTTGGGGTATCCATGCGTATCTACTATGCAGGTACTTTTCTTCTTCTGAGGAGGAAGGGTAGGAAGAACGAAGAGAAGGCTATACCCAGTCAACTGGTTTCCTCAGCACCCCTAGAAGTCTCTCTTCCCTCGAGCCGGGGGCTGGAGAGTGCATATACTTCCAGCCGGCCGTTAGGGGTAGTGACATCAAGATCCTATAAAATTTAGTGTATCTCTCTCTATGTGGGAGTGTGGGGACTCACGACTCCACACGAGCTCCAGGAGTGTTAAGTCCGAAAGCGGTACCTCTATCATGGACGAGGTTGAACTCGACATACCTCCCACGGCGTAACTGCTGCCAGGCCTTTTCTTCAGGAGTGTATGGCATATTCTACTACAGTTCAGCAAAAACTTCAAATTCCCAATCCAGGCAGCATACTTTCCGCTTCTCGATAATGGGAATATAACTCGGCAAGAACGAGTTCAGGCAATCCTGCACAAAGCTGAACAACTGTTCAGGGTCCTTATCATCCAGGTCATCAAAAAAGATTCCCCCAATACCCCGACTCTCCCCCCGATGTTTAACGCAAAAGTACTCGTCACACCACTTCTTAAAGGTAGGATAATAACGCTTGTCATGCTTCTCGCACGCCTCCTTTATAGTTTTGTGAAAGTGAATAGCGTCCTCATCGAATAGATAACTCGGTGTCAAATCCGTGCCCCCGCCAAACCACCATGCTTGGGTGCTTCCATCCTCAGCCATTGTCTCAAAGTACCTATAATTCAAATGTACTGTCGGCGCCATCGGATTCTTCGGATGGAGAACCATACTGAGTCCTGCAGCAAAGAAGTCTAGGCTCTCGACGGTGGGATCAAGTTTCTTGTGGTCGGCTCTCATCTTCAATATCGCCGCACGCGGGAGCTTACCGTAGACCACGGATATGTTGACCCCGGCTTTTTCAAATACATTGCCTTCCTGCAGGACACAGGAGATTCCACCGCCACCGGAAGACATCCGCTCCCAGGTGTCTATGATGAAGGGTTTTCCGTCGACCTTCTCTAGGGCTGCCACTATTTCCTTTTGTTTTTCTTTGATATAGGACTCCATTTTTAGACGCATAGGTGAGGAAGGGGTGATCCCGGATTCGTGCTTGTGAATGGCATCGCGTTTGTCAATTGGGAGGTTAGAGGGAGTGTCGCAGTGAGTTTGGCTGGATGGGCTCTAGGGGAGAACAGTTAGCTCTGGATGAAATGGAATGGGGTTGTGGTCGGGTTGTTGATAGACAAGGCAGCTGGCGAGGGAGAAAGAGCGGAGGGAATTGTACGTATGCTGCAGCCAATGCCCCGAGAGCAACTGCCCCCGCAATTCCCACGGCTGTAGTTTGCCTACCATTGAGCCATACTGGGGATTTTGTTGATGATGCGAAGCTGCAGAAGAGTTTTGGGGAATCTCGGGCGGCCCAGCGAAGGAGGGGCGAAGTGAGACCCCTGCGTGAAACTAGACAGCGGGACATTTTGAGGTCGCGAGTATTAGAGAAGGTGGTGGATGGTGATGGTATACTCTGCTTTGTATTCTGGTAGGTAAAAGACCCATCTGTCCTCAGTAGAGTACCGGTATCATAACAATGTACCGGTACTAGCATATGGCGGGACACGAGATGTCACCCTGAAGGTCCCACCTCCAGTGACCCAAAGTAAAAACTCAGGTTATTAGAAATATGATACCGTTCACCGCACAGGTTAATCCAGAGGCTCTTTTATCCGAAAAAGGATTAGGTCAGCCATTAGGTCAGCGATACCGAGTTCAACTTAGCCCCTCTTTCACCAGGCTTTTCCACTCATAACATTAGGCTTGGCGGATAGGAACTATGGTGGGTTGATTTCTTCGTCGTCACCAGCAGTTGGCCGGTTGTCTCGCTCAGCCTTGACGGAAAGGACATCCCACCCTTTACTCGTCGTACCCGTACTCTCCTCCCTCCTCCCCCATCGTACAAGACAAACTCTACCAACTCCCAAAGGTAATCACGCTCTCTCCTTCGCCTTCTCTCATCCCCAAGATCTACCATCGCGGTACTCACGCTGTGTGACACTTTCCACCCCCTTGTCATCACTCATCCCTTCCTCGTAAACCAGTCACAGTACCATTCCTATCCTATCGACTCACTCCTGTCACCCTTCCCCCCTCATCCCCTTCCTTCGCTCCTCCCTGCTTCCTTCCCCTCCATCTCATCCATCCCCACCCTTTCTTTCCGCCTTTCTATTCCTCTGTGGCTGTACTTTGGGGTACATACCGAGGTTTTTTCTACTCTGCCTCTGCCCTTCTACGAGAGACTCATAGCACGTTTCTGGATTCTCCAAGAAACGCCTCAGCTGACCCAGCCAATAAATAGCTGCTAGCTAGCTTCATCTACCCTTATCCTGTGTGTGTCTATCTGATCTGGTCCGATCGCTGCTCGACCTCTGACTGTTAAGTCAAGTACAAGTAAGTAACCTTCCTCTCTCTTTCTCTCCTCCCCGCTTCTGCCCCTCTTCTCTTTCACCCCCAACTCTCTCCTTCATCGTCACTACCTCGCCTCGTAACCGTCAACCGCTCACTCGTCACCGCGGCCTGTTTGTCTTATCGCAGCCACACACTCACTCTTCGTTCACCTCTGCCCCACATCATAAATAGACATTCGTCGACTCTCTCCTCCCAACCACCCTCTCTAACCGCCCTTTTAAATCTTCAGATCTCCTTTCAACAGAGTTTTCGTAGTTCGTAGTTCAGCAAGTCTTTCAAGATGCGCAGGTATGCTCATTCTTTGGAGCCTTTGTTCTCAGCCTTGTAGCTAAGCTAACCCCGCTCTTTCACAGCAAGTTTAAGGACGAACACACCTTTGAGAAGCGCAAGGCGGAAGCCGAACGCATTCGCCAGAAATATGCAGACCGTATTCCAGTATGTTCCTTTCCCTTTCTTATTAAAAGTAAAACTACTCAACATGTTCTCTTTACTGATGCTTTATGTTTTTATCACCAGGTTATTTGCGAGAAGGTCGAGAAGTCGGATATTGCAACAATCGATAAGAAGAAGTACCTGGTTCCTGCGGACTTGACTGTCGGTCAGTTCGTCTATGTTATCCGCAAACGCATCAAGCTGTCCCCGGAGAAGGCTATCTTTATCTTTGTTGATGAGGTGCTTCCTCCGACGGCTGCCCTAATGAGCTCTATTTACGAGGAGCACAAGGACGAGGACGGATTTCTTTACATAACGTATGTCACCACTAGAAGCACTTCCTGCGTCCCTTGGTTTGTTATGAGGCTAATTATTTTTCGACGCACAGCTACTCCGGTGAAAACACCTTTGGCTTTGAGGAGCTGTTGTAAACCGTCGGAGGGAGTTCAGGTGTGGGGGATGGTTTTTGCTTTCATTTGGGAAAGGCCTGTTGGGTGGGGAGATTGGTTGGTGAAGGTTTTCTTTTTTGGGAGGAGGTTTTCTGGCGTCGGCCCGAGTCGATAAGCTCTTTCCCATAAAAAATCACCTCACCCAATGACCCCCAGAAGGGCCCTGTTTTCTTATTTCCTCTTGTCGAGTGCTTTAAATGGCTTGGAATTCATTTGGTACTTATTGCTTTTTATTCGGTTTCCTTTTGATCCACACAGTTACTCTCTTGTTTTTTTTTTCCCGAGCTACCGTACTTGTTATCATGGGAAGTTTTCACAAAGTCATACATGGGCCATGATAACCAGTAGAAGGGACTAGAGACAAGTAGCTGTGTCCCCTTTCATTATTTGTTCTTTCCATCTTCCATATCTCTTTTCCAACAACTGTTTCTTAACTGAGCTCTCCTCCCGACGAAGGTTCTCTGGGGAATATAATGGGCCTAGTTTTTCAAAACCATCACGGCTGAATCTGAATTCGCCATTTGTAATCCACATTGACTTGACTTGTGATTATATTATACTATCCCCCGTGACATCAACCCAACCTTGACTCATCCCACCCCAATGCAAGGTGCAGGTGCAAGTACCGGTACCATACGGTACAACAGCTGAGCCTCACTCACCAGCCAACCCGCCCATTGACCACACTCATCATCATCAGTACCATCGTCGCCCCATCACGCGCTAAAGTACTTTCCAACCCGCCTACATGTCGTATCGTACCATATCATATACCGACTGATCAGCCTGATGTATGCCCATCACACGCAGTGAGGAGTTGTGGAAGGGGGGGGAATGAGGGGGGAAGACCAACCGAGTAAACAGCCCCCAAGCTTCACCCCCGGACCTCCCGGCTTCGGCTTCTTCCCGGCGGATACGGATGGCAGCGGCGGTGGTGCCGATCAGGAGGGCGAAGAGTGGGTCAAGAGTTCTGTAAATGAGAGTTGAAGTTGTTAGTTGGTTTTTGTTTGTTTATTCGGCGGGTGGTAGAAGGGGAGGGGGGGGACTTTGAGATTAGATGGACCGGTTGTGGCATCTTTGAGGCTTAGGTACAGTTTCGGTATGTGGTGGGAGTGGGGGGTTTGGTTTGATTTGATCGGATTGGTGGTGTATTGTATGATGGATTGGTAGTTTGGGATGGTTTGGGGGTCTTGGCGGTTCACGATACCGTCGTTGATATCACCAACATCAATTCACTAAATTCAAGTGGATAGAGAGACAAATAGACAGATAAAAAAAAAAAAAATACTATACGAGTTAATTCTCTCTATATATAAAATCCACAACCTATCCTCCTCCTCCCACACAGTACATAATCACGCACACACGCACAAACTCCCATAGTCTAGGTTACCCATAATCTAAAGCCTAGCAAGCACATATTCCTCCACACTGCCCCTCACAATCTTGGCCTTCTTCTTGTTGGCCTCCTTCTTCTTCTTCGGCGCGCCCTTGCCGCGCAACTTCTTGCTCTGCACGTCCAGCAGTCGCTGCCGCTCGTCCTCGTCCGCAAAGCTCATCATGGGGAAGTACCGTCGTAGGTCGACTACGCCGACGCGTCGGCCAGGGAAGTAGTAGTCCAGCAGCGTCGGGCCCTTCAGGCGCTCACGCAGTACGCGGTTGCCCGTGCGTAGGTTGTGCGGGTTGTAGGTGGTGGAGAATATGCGGGCTGATGTCTAGTGGTGGGTTAGCACGGATTGATTGCGATGGTGGTGGTTGGGGGAGGGGGGGAGGAGAGTGGGGTGGAGTACTTTAGCTAGTTCTTGGAGACGTTCTCGTGGTGGGAGGGCTTTTGTCGGGAGGAGTTTGACGATCGTTGGTATTGTGGTTGCCATGATTGCGGACCTTGCAGTTTCTTGGTGGGGTGGATGGTGGGGGGATGTTGCTCATGTGTTTGCATGATGGACGGAATATTAGGTTGGCCCGTGCACGGGAAAGTTTCCGTGAGGTTGCACTTGGCTGGTAAGGGCAAGTCCTGGTGTCGCTAGACCATCCAACCCTCCCGCGTATTAACCCAGCAGATTGGAAGCAACTTCTATCCTTCTCAACAGCCCTTTCATCTGAAAACACAATTGTAAAAATTACTGGTGTCATAATGTTAGGGTTTAGTTCGTAACTATTTTAATTTGAGAGGAGATCATTACACCTGTTTCAAACAGCCCACCGATATATAAACAAAAAAAAAAGCCCACACTTCTATTTTTCCGAAAAAGAAAAGAAAAAGATATAAAAAAGAAAACCCTCTTCAAACCCATAAAAAACAGGTGAGTCATCATAATATAAAACCTACGATTACGTCCTTTGAAGAAAGTTTTTTCTAAATGCGATACAAGAAACAAATCATACTAGTTTTTCTGCTCCTGTATAGCTATTCTAAATCGAGCCAATTAAATCTTGGCACCGACCAACTGAGCGTACTTCTCGGTGCTGAAGGACTTGGGCCTCTCAATAGGAGCTCCCACAGCGCGGTCAATGATGAGTTGAGGAAGGACACCCAGTGCACGGGAAACGCCAAATAGAACAGTGTAGTAGCTGGCCTCAGTAAGACCGTAGTATTGAAGCAAGACGCCAGAATGCTGGAGAAATTTGTCAATATCAAAATGAAGCAATAGGACGACTCAAAAACTTACAGCGTCAACGTTAGGGTATGGGTTCTTGGTCTTTCCATGCTCAGTGAGGACACCAGGAGCAATGTTGTAGACCTGGCTGACCAACTTGAACATGGGGTCTTCGGGAAGTTTCTTGAGAGCAAACTCGCGCTGTGACATGTAGCGGGGATCGGTCTTCCTCAAGACAGCATGACCATAGCCGGGAACGACACGACCGGCATTCAAGGTGTCCCACAAGTAGTTCTTGATGGACTCATCGCTAAGGTCGTCACCAACTTTCTTCTTCATCTCGGTGAGCCAGTTAAGAACTTCTTGGTTTGCCAATCCGTGAAGAGGACCGGCAAGACCGTTCAAACCAGCTGCGAGTGACAGGTACGGAGAGCTAAGAGCTGACCCAACTAAGTGGGTAGTATGGGCAGAGACGTTACCGCCTTCCTATAGGGACAAGTTAGTAAGTGCTTAGGTATTCCGCAGATGGTTTGTAACCACGTACGTGATCGGAGTGGATAACAAGGTACAGCCTCATGAGATCAACAAAGTCTTTGTTGTCTCCAAAGCCAAGTTGGTTGGCCAAGTTAAAACCGTAATCCTTGTCCATCTGGATAGGAACGACCTTTCCGTCTTTGAAGATGTTGCGGTAGATCTTAGCAGCGATAGTAGGAAGCTTGGCAATCAAGTCCATGGAGTCCTCAAAGGTGTAATTCCAGTATTCCTTCTTGTTAAGACCCTTGGCATATGCCTTTGCGAACTGGGACTCGTGTTCAAGAGCAGTCACAGCAAGAGAGAATTGTGCCATTGGGTGGAGAGTGTTGGGACATCGGTCGATAAGCTCCTCGACAAACTTGGGGATAGAAGAACGGGCAGCCCACTCGGCAGAGAGTTCACGAACTTGCTGCTCAGTGGGAACCTCTCCAGTTAAAAGTAGCCAGAAGATACCTGATGGAAGGTCAACAATTGAGCACAATATCGGGGGTATAGAGGGGAAACAAACTCTCGGGGAGTGGCTCCTCTCCACCAGGCGCCTTAGGGAGGATAGCCTGGCATTCGGGGATCTGCCAGGGAAAGTTAGATTACATTAAACGGCCCGGAAGCTCTCGTAAAGGGAAACCGACGGTCTTCCCTCTAAACCTAATACCCTCCTCGGCGTCAAGGACGGATCCCTAGGAATACATTAGATGTTGATCGCTCTAACAATATCTTTGGAGGCAAGCTAGAAATAGCACATACCTCCCATACAAGGGCCTTGATACCTCGAGCACCACCATAGACCTGGTCAAGAGTAACCTCACCAAGGACCTTGGAACCGTGCTCCCTGCAACTTCTGTTAGAAGCCAATAACCCTTGGAAAAATGCACAGCCTCGACATACTTTTTCAGTTTCTTGATTTTCTCAATCTCGTCAGGGATTTTCGCAGCGAAGGTCTCTTTGAGAGTCTAAATAAGGCTCTCAGGTTAGTGCAAGTCCTACCGAGCGGAACATAATAACGTCAACAACAAACCTTGGGTTTAACGGTTGAGTAATAGCGAAAGCCAGCTCTTTTAATGCTGAAGGAAGCCGAAGCGGACAGAGAATTCCGCAGGGCGAGGGCGCCAATTCTCATAGGAGCAGCCATTGTGATGCGAATTAGAAAAGTAGTGGGTTGGAGAGGATGGGAGAGAGAGAGCGAAGACGTAAGACGAACGTGGTCTGGGAGAGAAGTAGGGGAGATCAAGGGAGGGAAGAAAAAAAAGTTGTTGAGGTTTTTCCTAAACCGCTGTCCTTCCGAAAGAGCCTCGTGCGGACGAGCTAAGACGTCTGAGCCGACAAAAATCCTCGTTACAAAAGCCACAAGAACTCCTAACTATAAATGCGAAGCCCCCAACAGCCTTCAATTGTACAGAAGAACACTTTGACCGGAAGACCTGTAATTTTATTTCAATTTTATTGATTCTATTTACTCTGGTTCTTTAAGGCTCGATGCGCACGAGTAAACCTTTGAAATTCAAGATCTGTGGCTTAGGGCTTAGGGCTTTCTCCTAGAAGGGGAATGGAAATAATTTGCCACCAGCAACCCGCCAGCCAAACGCCAAACCTGTCAGCAAATTTTCGGTGGCTTGAAGTTGCGATCGGGGCCGAGTCGTGTCTCCACATTCCCTGAACTTTGCTTGAGTTAACCCAATTGAATTTATGGGACAGCAGAAGAGGTGAGCAGGTTTTCGTGCGAAAATCTAAGCCAAAGTTCATATTTGGTCACTCGAGATTCTCTTCCGGTTGGAAAGCTGCAGCCAGTGCCACGGATTCGGTTGTTGGCCGCAGCAGGAGATACTCGTATGTGCGCGACCGAAACCCGCATTAGTTACGCGGTGTAACGTCTTTCCTCTAAGGTGAGTGTGTTGCTGTATGTTTTTATGGGCTTGACTATGCCAGTCTGCGATCTGTAGTAAAAAGGAAAAAAAAAAGGCCCACCAGCTGCAGATCTCCTACCACCGGTATCATAACAACACTACTCGTACAGTACAAGTATTACTACCAAGTTTCCATCCCACACCTCCTAGGATAGACTACCAGAGTGCAAAATCGAACAGTGCCAGTACCCTAGTATCGTGTGAACATGCCAAACTTCACGATGCCTTCCTCGGCCAGTCCTCCCAAGTTTTCATTGGGAGTTGACCCCTCCTCCTGCATCTGCCCGGACACCACATCACCTCCCATATAGGATAGACTTTGTGGCAGTCAAACAAGTATATAATATTATCAAGTGAATCGGAGCAATATCAGGCTGGGAGAGCAATATTTGAGCGAGCAAAGGTTATCGGTGGCTCTGACTCTGGAAACACTCCGAGTCTCGGAAAGCGCTGAGTGGGTCTGTGATCGCGCAGACTATATTCCCTTTTACATAAAGGCTACCATTCAACGTATTTCCGATGTGTACGGATGAGAGCTACTGTACCTCACCGGACGAGCAAAATTGGGGGAAAAACAAGAGCAAGGCACGAATGTGCCCTCGCTTTGAACTGGAGGAGATGATTGAACACGCGCCCCGCAGGCCCTAGACCCTTGACTAGGTGTAGGGGGAGGAGTCGACCCGAAGATACACGGGTTCGGCCCCCGGGCTGAAATCTTCAAAATTACTGAAGAAGGGGTGAAATTGATAGATATTTTGGCTGGTTTTGTTCCCGTTAGTGGATTGGGTTCTCCAGTGAAGGAGGTCCTGCGTAGGAATATTGCAGTCATTTTCCTATGTTCTGGGGGATTTTGAGAGCCCCCCCTTATGTTGTTCTGAAAGATGTAACATAGGTGGTTTAGGGCCTGCTTGGCTCGCTGTGATCCGAGATGGACCTAATTTGAAATCATGATTTGCAAATTGCCCTCTGTCAAATACCATTGAAAATTTTAATTTTTTAAATCATGATTTGGGGCCAACTCTGGGAAGTTGGGTAAAGGCGTAGGACATATTAATTGTGATTTCCCTAAAACATATATTCTATTTGACCTCCACGTTATAACCAGAAATAGAAGTGACCTTGCTAGACGTCTTTATATTGTATGTGTATTTGCAATAATAAATGAGTGAGTAAAACGAGCAAGCAGTGAGAAAGGTAAATAATATTATATTAGAACAATGTCATGACTTTCCATTATTGGACCTATTCTACATCTTATATTTCCAAATAAGTATCCTAATACTGCTTCCTGTTTTTTGAAAATAAACAACTATGATAGTATAAATATAGCCTTTGTAAAGTAAATCTACATTATAGAAAACAATATAGATTTACAGTACTATGGCTTCTCTTATGAGATTAACATTACCATGCAATCATTACAAATTACCAAAAGGTAATGTATGAAAGCAAGTGGCTTTTTCCTATTTATACTAGAATATGTTCTCCTAGTACCAACCCACCTATGATCCCATTCCTCCTGTTAGTATATGCCCTCCCACCAATCTACCTATAATTTCATCTCTCCTGTTAGTATATGCCTTTCTACCAACCCATCTATAATTCTATCCCTCCTGTTAGTAGTATATATTCTTCCACCTATTTACTTATAATTCTTTCTAACTAGTACTTTGTTGTATGAAATGTTAATTGTAGTATTATGTGGTCTTGATTGAGTAATATGTGTAGTATTGTATAATATAATATTGTGTAGTATTGTATATAAGAGAAGAAAAAGTAAAAGAAGCTATAGAAAAATAAGAGAAGAAGGGGCAGTGGTAGACTCCATTATATAGATCTCTCTCAGAAATGCCAAGTCAGATATATAAGAAAATATAATCTACCCTACCACTCTCTTTACCTTTTACTTATTAAAAATAAATGAATGCTATTGGAGTAGTGAGAGTATATGGTTAAGTATAGTATTTGATAATATTATTAAATAGCTAGCATACTAAATAGCACTTCACTATACTATAGGTTTTGAGAACAAGCCTTTTATAATTGAATAAAGTGAGATGTTTAGCATATAGTACTTTAAATAGCTTTAGGCTTTACCTTAGTATTTAAAAGTCTCTGTGTTGGAAAAAGGAGAATAACTAGCATTTTGTTAGTATACCATAAAGATTATATTATATTTTTGAATACAACATAGAAAATATATCTATTTGTTATTAAAAGAAAAGAAATTGTTGATAATAATAATTTGAAATAGGAAAGGACTATTCACTCCTGTGGTAATAATGTTACTTTAATTTTGATTTAATATAGAATACCTGTATTCTAGATCTTCATATTATACTTGAAATATTAGAGCCTCAAATTAGTATGCCTGAGGTTTTACCCTTTTTAAGAGAGGATCAATATGTAAAAAGTTTGATCATTATGTGATCTTAGTGGAATTATGCATATAGACAATAACAATAATAATGTGTTAGGGAATATAAATAAAGGAGTAATAGTGCTAAATCTTTAAAATCTTAATTTTTTTCTTTCCAAATCATGATTCCAAACCACGACCATCTCGAATAATACCGAGCAAAGCAGGCCCTTGTTTCTTACTAGCCCTTGTCATAATCTCCTCTCGTTTTTTTGAGTGCCCTGGGCCTTCGTGTCATAACCTAACGGTTACGTACAGAAATTGTGCCCCCCCCCCCAAAGATTGTAGGATGCATCATAACGGGGGGTGGATCTCGATTGTGTTTTCCCGATCTCATGGAGAATACATCCCAGCGCAGCTGAATATGGGTAGGTAGGTAGCAAAACGGGGTATTCAAAGTTCAAATCTATGATATCTATGGAAGCTTGAAATGAGGCCCCAAGAAATTCTCAACATGCATATCTTAATCTTCGAGTTTTCTACAGAAATTAAAGGCCGACTCACATTCACAAAATATCACTCGAGAAGAATGTCAGGGTAAGAGGGAAAGAAAAAACATCCGACCTGCCCAACCTCTTCTCACGAGGAAACCATTAAAGCGCCATCGATATAAACCGACCTTGCCCACACTAAGACATCCCCTTCGCAGAACCGAAGCAAGTGAATAGCGGCTTGGGGCGCGGCAAAGAGGATATAGTAAAAGAGAATATTAATAATTCCAAGCACTCCTCATTTTTACAATTTTTCCTGCCTTTTCAGATCACCCATTGAGGTAGATGTTATAATTACAATACCCTGGGAGCCAAGATACTATCGATGTGGTGCCCGACAAATGAAAATTCAGCACACCCCGAGCGGATACATTAGCAGCCGTGACCATGAAAGCCGTTCAATTGCGGGCGGAGCCAACCCGTGTGCTAACCCTTCACCAAAACCGATACAGGATCTCGGTACTCGAGTACCTGTATACGGAATATGAGGCTTTATAGCCCCTTGCATTTACCAATAAGGACAGACCCTTACCCGGTTTTTGGCTTTCCCTAGCCGACAGAAAGTGCACAGTACCTATCCGTGCTTATGAATTTCCAACCAGACCCAGTCCAACCGAGCCGGAGCCATGCCCGAATGTTTTTTTTGTTTTTTTCTTTCTCCCCGGGCACCATCGGAAAAACCTGAGTATGGGGGGTATTACCGTACTTGCATTAGTGGGGGGGGACTAACGGCGCGGTAGTTGTAGGAATTAACTTATCGTTATTCCTTGTATTACCTTACTTTTATGTGCTGGGGTACTTGTACGCGAGGTCCCATACCCGGATTAAGTATCAAGGCCGATGGATCTTCGTGGTACAAGTACTGCACGCGGTGTACCCAGCAAGGAGAAATTCAGGGTTGGTGGTACATGGTTTTTTTTTGTATTTGTGCTGTTGAAGGACTAGACCGTTCTCTGCAGCACTTGTAAGGGTTCCTTGGAAGGAGTTTTGTTTCGTGCTGGGGCACGATACGATGCTAGACATTCTAGAGGTTTGGTTTGGGGTGCTGGTATCATAGTTCTACGTGTGTGTACTATGACAGTACTGTCAGAGACACTATAGATATAGTGCCGGGGGGGTGTCGCCCTTCAAAGGATACAGGAGAAACCAGGGGCTTATATATCATACATCGTGAAGACCCCACTCGATACTTCTTACATTGAGACCACGTCCTCTAGTCGTAATTAATTGACTGCGTGGGCATCCGTAAGTCTGACAGCACTACTGTGTCACATGGCACTGGAACTCGTGGCGCCAAAATACACATTTATGTCGGTTTCAATTCATAAGTTAGCAGGTATGGATGGTCGGTTTGAATCCTGCATCCCAAGGGTATCATACTGTAATGGGTGACTTCCTCCAGAAATTCAGAATGCACTTCGTAAATTTTGGGTGGCTACTTGCATATCTGTGCATTAACACACTGAAAAGGATTACTGATATAGCTATCTGTCGTTGCCTAGAGCTGGTAAAGCATGGTGGTTGACCGTTTAAAAAAAAATTGTCTTGCACCTTAGTGCAAAATCTCTGGCGAGTTTGCAGGTCATATTAAAACAAAATGGACTCAAAAAATACTGGCCTTGGTGTATGGACTTCTACGGGTATAAGTTTTTTGTCACATAGTGAGTTGGTACTCGTAGAGGGTAACTTACCCTTAGGCCGTTGAAAGAGTTATCATAGCAAAAAAGAAGGTTGATGGAGGAAGTTTCAAACTTGTGAAGCATCCTTCTGCATACCGACTCTGCCATTCTGGGTGGCTTCCCTTCACCCCCCTAATCCTTTAACGGCCTACTGGAATGCTTCCCCCCCTTGCATTTTGTCCTTGCGCTTGTGCAGCCTGTTTACAGGGGTACTAGTAATAGATACGAATATTAATTCTTGCAGTACCAATCTCTTGGCTACAAGGTACCGTTGCAGTTGTAGGTCAGCCATTGCTCACCGGCCTGGTATCTCCCCCATCAGAGGCAAGGCCCCCCGAGAAGGGATAGTGTTTTCCAGGCGGAGTATGGCTTGGGGAGGTTGAGGTTGCTGGATCCCATTAACTGGTATCCCACATTTTGTTAACCACGCCTATTTTGGGTTAGATAGTGAATTCCGTTGACATCCCCGATAACGGAACAACAAGTCTTTACGGCAAAATTTATTCCAGTTCTTCTGTTGGTGCCGGAATTGTTCGACGGGGCCTGACTCCGAAGGGTGGCAAAGTAGGTATAATGAAACCATACTACCGGGGCTACAGTGCTCGAGTAGAGAAGGGACTCCCAGCAACCCCCTAGCCAAAAAGTCTGATATCGCGTCTGAAAGGTTGCGATTCTTGGGCTGGGATGTTGAGGTCGTGAGCTCCGGTGTGGTGTGCGTCGACCGAAAATCATTTCAAGACTAAAGTTATTGCCTTCTTGTGCACAAATAATTCCTCATACGCTATATACCGGTGCAGTCCCCTGCCGTTTGTGGCACCCTCCGTGCATCACGGCCCACAGATAGTATTAGCCCCGAGGATATCGAATGGGGCGACGGATGTGTACCCGGATTTCCAGCCCAGTCTTCAACGTGGCCACGATGACACCCGGCGGGTTTGACGAACAGGGATCGGTATGGTAAGAGATTTTTTTTTTTGTTACCCTATGGGTACTATGACGAATTCGCTTTTTTTACCTACCAAATGCCCATGCTAACCACTCGCAAGTTGTCAGGTTGAGGACTTTAGCTGTGACGAGGGGGGTGGGTCCTCTACCCCTGTTTTCACCATAAGCAATTCACCGGTCGTGGGTACTCCTGGTGAGTTTAATAACCCGAGCACCCCCAAAACACTGGTAGACCTAAGATATCAATATCCAAGGATTTTTAGAGTTGTGAACTCCTTTGTCAAAGTCACTATTTTTGGTCGTGTTTTTGTCCACACCGACCTCGGGTGACTGGGTTAGAACCACTATCACTATCATAGAAACCCTAAGTTAGGGTTTGTGAGATTGTCGATTTCAGTTGGCTTGCATGACATTGTGAAAATGAACTCACAGGGAGAGGATCTAGAATTCTAGAGTTGGAAATTCTTATCGTGGGCTGCGTCCGTCTCCATCAATCAATTAAAGACATTACGCAACGGGCTCGAGGGGTACCTTCCAGGGGATATACTAGAACTGGCTTTAACCTTCAGGTGTGGTACTCAAGTACCGTAGTGATACTTGAGCAGATCAACAATCACGAAGGTTAGACGCCACCCGACCCTCTCTGCCCAGCCCCCCGAAGCCCGGCTGCGCAGAAGCTCTAGTACCATAATATTATAGGCTGGTTTATTCGCTTTTCTCTGATTAAGCCCCTCGTTGCGCCCCTAGAGCGCACTGGATCTCGGGGGGTTGCTGGGTCAGAGTGATAAATCATGACGTTCGCTTCACGCGACACTCTCTAGGGCTCCTCATTCACAGGCCTCGTGTGCTACCGGGATGGCGTAACTACCTTTGGATGGTGCCGAGATCTAGACTAGCAAAGGGTGATCGAGGATGAAGTAAAAAGGGGGAGATCTTTTTGAGTACTCGAGTACCGGGCCGGTCTTGTGTCGCATGCAAGTGGGGCTATTCTTCTTCGGGAGTGCCTAGACGGGGATTTCTGCGCTGTTCCTGTTGAATGAGCACTCGTAAGGTATGTAAGCCTAGATAAGAAGTTTTAGCAGTTCGGTGGTTGGATAAATATGACTGGGAATGACGGTGTGCATACCAGGGGATTCAACCGCTCCTCGTTACCGTCGTAGCTTGTGATGGTTCTGGCCAGTTATGGGTAACTTGATCTGTGGAACTTAAAAAAATCTCTGCTATCATAATATCATGGTGATTCTCCTATTCGTTCTCGAAAAGCTTTTTCGATGGGGGTCACGGATTTTGTCTTGTCACGCGGCACCTAAGGTACTCGAGTACTGCGGGGTATTGGGGTGCGGCACAGTAAGCAGGGAATTTGTTGTAACAACGACTTCCCCTGCCCTGCCCGGGCGGGCGGAATTTGTAATGAACAATGCCGTCGGTACTGTAGCAGTGTCTGTCTTCCATGGCGGCGGATTGTTGTGGGGGTAGGAATGGTCTGGGAAATGATGGAGACTCTTCCATATTGTCGGAGCATTGGGGATACACCTTCGAGTGGGGGAGCCACTAAAATTGAAACTACTGATTACGACTGGCAAACAATGAAGCATACATTTTCCTTCACAGGCCTTACTGATGTTGGTATTATTGTCTCGCTTGAAGGGCCTTTTCAGAGTACTAATATAGATACTGATACTCTGATATTATGAGAAGAGTGCGGAGCCAGGGAACCTCACGCTAGGATGTTGGAGTTGCCTTTATTAGTAAGGTCCATGATATTTTTTTTCTTTTTTATCGGTCTTGTGGAGGGCTGAAAGCCGGCTCTTCTTCAATAATATTGTTAACCGTAGTCTTTCCTGTGACGACTCCCCCCCCTTTTATCCAAAGAGGGAATTCTGGACGTCTTAGCACGGGTTTCAACTATTCCGGTTCTTACGGCACCTGTCCGTGTTTGTTTCTCGCTTTGCTTGTAGACTACGATGTTGCCCGCTCTAAGGGTGCGCTCGAGTATCCGGGAACCACCCAGATGCACAGAAGGCGCCACTCAAGACCTGAGATCTGATTGAGACAGCAGAAGCCATTTATGGGGTACCCCATGGCTTGTCTGCCACAAGGATTCAGTAGTTTAGCGGTCTGGAATGCCGTCAAGAGGAGTTGGTTTTTTCGTCCTGTGGAACTTCGGTTCTTTCCGCGAGGATTGTGAAGCTCGGGGTTCTGAGATTGAGAAGAGAAAAGGAAACACAGTCCTCCAAATTTTTGCCTCCACGCGAGATTTCCATTCGGCTCAGTGATGGTTGAGCCCTGTTGGGTAGAGCGCTATTTCAATGGTCGGATTCTGCTCCAAACAAACATCCATCATCTCCAGTCTCCTGGTCAGGTCTCAATTGAGTTAACAATTCTCAAGCAATTCGATCTCTCACCGAGGTCGGAGCCCTCTTCAAGTGCCGTATTAGAAAGGGTCCACCTATTTGCCTAGTTTCGCCCCTTAAGATGTTAACATCATAATATTATTATCAAAAACATGCGGGAACCGTACCGGGAGGTGGAGCCTTCGAGTATAGCAGGTATTTCACTAACTCCCCCAATCGCAGCATGAGATCGAAGCTGAAATCTAATGTTACGGTAGATAGGAAGAAATAAAGGCTCATCAGGACCCCTTCACCTCTTCCCCCCCCGGCCTTCTAACGTCAATCATTTGCTTCTCTCCTCGCATCTTGCCAGGGTAGAAACAAACTCTTTTGCAATGGGCGTCAAACGGAGCCCTAGATCGCGGGGCTTGGGCGTGCTTACGGTGCTTCGCGTCTACTATGATACCTTTTTCCGTCTTGTCCCTGGTTTCCTGATCCTTCCTAGTTAACCCCAGGATATCCCACATGCTCTGGAAAGAATCGGGGTGGTTTTTCCTCTTGCTTTATTTACGGTATTAGTACCGAGCCCCCCCAATATCTCTCTGCATGTGGGGCAGATGGTAGGGGGCAAAGGACCATAGGTTGATGTAGAGAGGCAAGAAAAAATAGAGAGGGAGAGAGCTGGCTTAGCACTTGTGCTACCTCTACAAATTGCTTACCACACGACGCAGCGACTTACTTGCATGAATTGGCTGGCTATTTTTATTTGCCTCCCAAGAATGCGGTTGTGCGAGAAATGTCCGATATCCTACCGGAATTGTCGACTTTTGACCGGAACACTGAAATTTACCGAAACAATGGGAACTGCTCTGATACGGCTGCAGACATGGGTTTCTTGCTGTGGGATGGTGTGCTGTGGGTTTCCCCACTGCGGTCCGCCGAACGGCAGCCAGAACGGTAAAACGTGGTAGAACTAAGGCGGGGGATTCCACTTTTCCCATGGGTTCGGTAGTTTATAAGGAGAGGGCTTCCCCACAGACTTTCTCTCCGCTGTTCGACTTCCTTTCTTTTTACTCTCCATACCCATCGTGAGGGAGACAATCAATTGCCCCACATGTCGGAGGTAAAAACTACCCCCAACGTCTCCACTTACCAGTCTCGCCAAGGCAAGAGGGAGGTTGTTGCAAATGTATCACTCGCCGATGCTTTGGCCCAGGCCAAACCCAATCCATGGACTACGAGGATGTTCAAACTTTACTTCTTCCTGCTTATTGCTTTCCTGAATTCGTGTATCAATGGATACGATGGTTCATTGATGGGAGGTATCAACGCTATGAAGACATATCAAATGTGTGTTTGCCGATCACCAAGCGATAACTGAGCTATCCGCTGATTCCTCGACAGGTATTTCAATATGAAGGATGTTGGAAGCAGCACTGGATTGGTATTCTCCATCTATACAATCGGTAACATCGTTGGATCATTTTTCTGCGGTCCATTCACAGATTGGTGGGGCCGGAGATGGGGTATGTTCATCGGTGCTAGTATCATTATTCTCGGGACGTGTATCCAGGCTCCTTCCACCGATAAGGCCATGTTCATTGGAGGCCGTTTTATACTCGGATTTGGTGTTGCTACTTGCGCTACTGCCGTAAGCCGCCATACCCATCCTTCGTGCCACAAATGCTAAGAACTTTTAGGGTCCTTCATATGTTGCCGAGATGGCCCATCCCGCTTGGCGGGGAACCATTACCGGCATGTACAACACCTTTTGGTTTATTGGTGGTGTTCCAGCATCGTGGGTTCTTTGGGGAACTGAGAGTGTGTTTTGCTCCTTACATCTATTGAAATAAAAGTTCTAATTGCTAACTATGTCTCGAGGCATCAAGAGCGATCTCTCCTGGAGACTTCCCATCTGGCTTCAAGCTGTTGCTTCTGGTGGTGTTATCATTGGTTGCCTCTTCTGTCCTGAGACTCCCCGTTGGTTGATCTCCAACGGCCGTCACGAGGAGGCCCTCAAGGTCATGACCGAGTTCCATGGTGAGGGAAATCGCGAGTCACCAATTGTCCAGCTGACACACAACGAAATGGTGAGGGAAATCGCAACTCAGGGGTCTGATAAGCGCTGGTGGGATTACCGAGATCTCTTCAACTCAAGGAACTCATGGTGGCGTATGTGCTGCGTTATGGGTATGGCTTTCTTCGGGCAATGGGCTGGTAATGGTGCCATCTCCTACTTCATGCCTGTACTTCTCAAGGCTGTCGGTGTCGAGACCCCCAAGACTCAGTTGGTATGCTTTCATGCCCCCATAACCTAAAGCCCAAATCTAACAATATTCGTAGCTCTACGGTGCCATCCTAAATGTCATCTCTTTTGTCATATCCACAATCGGTGCTCGATTTACTGACCGTCTCGGTCGCCGCCCCGTCTTGTTAATTGCTACATCTCTCTTCGTCATTGAATGGTCTATTGTCACTGCCTTGACCGCTACTTACGGAAACGAGGGCAACGCCAATGAGAACGGATCCCGAGCAGCTATCGCCTTCATCTACCTCTTCGGTATCACCTACTCATTTGCCTACACTCCCCTCCAAGCCCTCTACCCCGTTGAGTGTCTCTCATTTGAGACCCGCGCTAAAGGTATGGGAATGTATAACTTGTTCGTCAACATTGCTGCTTTCTTGTAAGTCTATACATTCTACAGACCCCCATCGAGATATATCACTAACTAGCCCTACAGCAACTCCTATGCCATCCCCGTCGCATGGGAGCGTGTCCAATGGCGCTTCTACTATTTGTATATTGCCTGGAATATTTTCCAGGCCATTTTCATCTATTTCTTCTTTGTCGAAACCAAGGGCCGAACCCTCGAGGAGATCAACGAGATATTTGACGCCCCTTACCCCAAGAAGAAGTCGTTGGAGGGCCACATTATTGTTATCACCGAGCATGGCGCTGCAGAGAAGTACTTTGGGCTGGAGAGTCACGATTAAAAGCATGCGTAGTTCTTTTAGGGGTTTAATTTCTTTTTGTAAAGTATGGTGTGTGCTGGGGTAATTCATGTTATATTTTTCTTTTTTAAACGAGTGACCGGTTCAATTTCGGGTGGTTTGTTGTTTTGCGAGGTTATTTGAAGTTTGGACATGCTGATTGCTTCTTTGGGGGCGCTCCGGAGCTGGCTTATTGGGTGTATTACTGGGATTTATGCGACCTTAATCGTACTCACTGTAACTTGTTGTGCCAGTTATGCAAGAATAGACACAGACTTTCCATACATACTCGTATATACATACATAATATACTTCCCCCAACCAACGTCGGCCTCACCAGGCTTGCTCACACCAGAGCAAGTCCAATTTAGCCAAAATTTCGATTATGCCAACACCAAGAAGAGCACTTCTACCAAATCTACGGTCTTTCCTCCGACACCTACTTTCTCCCACGCTGCCTCCTTCTTCCCCTCTTATGTTCCGCTCTGCCCCACACAAGCTGTGATCGACATTCTGACAGCTGCGCTCCCCAGCCCCACACGACGCGACAATAGCCTGGGGGATACTGTAAATATCCCCTTGAAACAGCACCTCCGGGATTACCCTCCAGACGTTTCTGCACTTCCAACGTCATTGGACTTGCATGATTGATTTTCCGCTCCCACTCGCCATCCATTCGAGTCCCCCCCCTGTTGGTACATTTTTGCTTCCCACCCACCCCCAAGAACCAAGCAGTCGGATCCGACAGCATCGCAGGCAACTTGATAGATTTGTAGGGCTTGTGGCATACGCATCCGCTCCAACTGTCCTGTCGTCCGCTTGTCCTGACTCATCCCCTGTTCCTTGTGGGGGCGTAGATACCTGTTGCGAGTGATATCCCGTGATATAGCCTTAGCTCGGGTTTGGGCACGGTGTCACGGTTGTGGAGGAGGTAAGTTATAGTTGGGTGGCGTAGGGTGGTGGCATGTGGCTAGTGCCTTAGTAAAATGAAAGATTTATTAGATTTTTCCCTGCCCATTACTGATTATCTCTTTCGGAGTGGGTACAGTAGGCTAGCGAAGGCGAGATACCTGGGTTACTCCAGAGGCTCGACTTTGGAGTCGGGCACAATGCCCCTGAACGGGGGTTATTATAAATCGGTGTCATATGATACTTGATAATGTGCGATGTCTCACTCCCAACCGAACCTGCCTTTTCCCACCGTTGATATTATAGTTGCTATTATTCCTTCGAACATGGGGGGGGGGGAGTGGGGGAATTCGTCCTAGTCTATTGTGATTGATGTTCACAGTTTCTCCCTACTACTCTTGATAATGTATCCGCTTATAGCATAGCCAGCAGATAATAGCTTGGGCGGCAGGATAAGTATCCGTTCGCCTAAACAATTACAAGTACCATACTTAAGCTGTCTCTGACCTCAAGAGATGACGCTACGGCGGGAGGATGCTCCGGTAAGGCGTCAAGATGAGATTTCTTCCTTGGTGATTGCCACGGAACAGAAGGGTCTATACATACAGGACACAGACTCATTAGGGAGGTTTTGCTGAGACGGTTGTAACTTGAACTTTCCTTATCACCACAGCAACGGCACTAACCTTTCCACATGTGCGATAGTGCTCGGTGGCTCAACTTTTCACAGTCTCAAGAACAGTTCTTAAATAAGACGGTCGTAAAGTTGTGTTTGCACTTTTGTTTACCAAAAATGGGTAAGTTACTAGGAGAAAAGTTTTCAACCCACACCAAGTTTTGTATCATACTGTGCTTAGCAAAACGCCAGTATTCTGACCTCGTTGCTACATTCATAATTCGCCACAAAAATAAGCATAGTTCTCGTTACGACAGTCGTAACAAAGCCTCACCAAAGCCATCGACGCAATTGTCGTAATGTGCCCGTAGGCCATCTACAGGTTCCACCAGAACCCATGACTAGTCTAAACAACGTCACCATTGCCATTTTTGGTAGTTGAAAGGGGCAGTGTGTCACAAAGTGCACCTTACTCTTGTGACCCTAGAAATCTTTTGTACGATAGGAACCAAAGAGATCAACTAGCACCAAAGCCCTCTGAGCACCCTTTCCCACACACACCGCTACTAGGAAACTTTGGTGGAGTTTTGCAGAAAACGCTCACCCGCTCCTCCGGACACGTGAGAAAGACGTTCACATCGCAAGGGCGGCTGTTAGATAATGACCACAATATCTTGAATAGGGTATGCTGAAATACCAAGACTGCAGAATGGGACCACAAAGAAAAGGATGGAATGCCCTCGTGACTAGAAGGGCAAAATCTAAACCTCAGGAGTCTCGATATGGTCTCGAGCTCACCGCTCCAAGTCACCATGGAACATCATCCTCTGGTCGGCCGAGTGATCTTTTACGATGAGGGTCCGAAAGCGGTGCCCTGGATGCCGCTTTGGGGCACGTTAGGATCCTTTTTTGATCGTCCCGAGCAAACAACAAGTTCTTCCAGAGGCTGCGCACCATACCTGGCGCATCATTACCGCCTAGCACATCACAGCAGCTACCAAATTGCCCAACATTTGGTGTTAAGGGCACTCCATGAGATTGGCAACAGAAGAAGCGTGTCCCCCTGGTTTTCCATACAAACTACCACTTTTCGTACATGCCTATCAACTCCATAAAAAATTTATTAATAGAGAGCTTAATCCAAAGATTCACATAGTTAAATGTCAGACTATAGAAATGGTTCTGAATTCTGAAAGGATTATGCCGAGATTAAAGTATCATAGGAACGTATCCTAGAGGGGGTTGAATAAACTTTTAAAGAAGGCAATGCCAAAATTCATGCCAAGACAGCTAATTTGTATGAGATTTTTGTCATGAATGTGGCTTGGCATGGAAAAGTTTTTCACATGACTCATGTTTATGAGTCATAGGTATGTTATTACTTTGTGCATGTGACTCATTTGTCATATGACTTGTTATGTTATGATTTATTATGTTTTACATATGACTTGATTATGAGTCCTGGGATGTGTACCTGGTGAGTATTCCTTGAAAGTATGCCTTGTTGGTATGCCTTACACATATGACTTATGTTTTGCACATGACCTCATCATGAGGTCATAGATTTTACGCATGTGGCCACTTGGGATCATAGGACTTGTTTATTATGTTATGATTAGCTTATGAGTTTTTATACATGACCTTGCTACGAGGTCATGGGGTTTGAGCATGTGACTTCTTTGGTCATATGACTAGTTTGTCATGATTTGGTTTCGTGTATGTGACCACTTTGGGTCACATGACTTGGAGCGGGAAGAACACTATATAAGGAGACAGCCACGGCTGAGGTGGATAGGTTCTTCCTGCATTGTTCTAAGTACTTTTCCTGCTTATTACTTTAACGAATATAAAAGACCTTTATGCTCTTGATAATTATCACAATCTTTATTACTATTACGACGAGAAGGCTCTATATGAGATAGAGTTAGAGAAAGCTTACGATAAATGATACCGATTGAAGACAAAGGTCTTGTACTATCGATAACGAAGGCATACACCTCAGAGCTATTGTACAGCAGAAGAAGAAGAAGAGAAGTATTATTCCCCATTGTCAAGAACTTACTACCTGAAGGGAGATTGTTTCATTACAAAGCGTCACCTAGAGTAATACCAAACGATCTAAGATGGCCTTCTTCAACCCATATAGGGAAGGAGATATCGATATCAACAATCAAAACCTCAATCCAGGGGAATTTAGTAATGTCCTAGATTACGTTTCAGCAGAGCCCTCGAGGGCAGTAAGTCCAGACATACCAGAGAACAGATCACTACTCGATAGCTTGCCTCCAGGAACGCCATGACTAAGAAGGATGTCTGAATCAGCAGTACTAGCACCACTGGCCCCAGCCAGTCCGGCACCAGGAACCCATATCTTAGGTATAACAGAGGCCCAGTTTCAGTCCTTCCTAATGGCAATACGAAGTACGATGACAGGATAAGGGAATGTCTAACGGCCAAAGGTGAAGGAACCAGATACATACAAAGAAGCCGAAGATAAACTACGAATATTCCTAGCACAATGCGAAGGATACTTCGCAGTCAAAGGATATGAAGAACAATAAGAAGGCATCAAAATTCCCTATTTGGAATCACTATTATGAGGACTTTCAGGCAAATAGATTATGCCCTTTCAAGATGGATAGAAGCAAAGGACTGAGTCACCTATGATGAATTCGAGGCAATGTTATTCAAATAATTTGACGATCATAAGGTCGGAAAAACTGCAAGATGGAAGTTGGAAAAACTCCAACAATGAAAGCAAACATTTTTAGCATACTGGAATGAATGTTGACTACTGGAATATAAGACAGAATTCGATGATACTAGTCTCTACATCATTCCCTTAAGAAACTGTTGTGAAAAACTACAAGCAGTATGGGGAAATTCCGACTTAGCCTTTACAATGTCAGAAAGCTTCGCCAGATGTACCATTGATAAGGAAAGCAGACAAGTAATAGTTTGAAACAACTAGGAGAATACCATAGCACACAGAATGGTCGAATTATCCAGGAATGTGGAAGGGACATTCAGGCCATAAGTAATACGAAGTGAGAACAGTGTATTATCACTAGGCGTGCCAATGGAATTGAATAAAGCAAGGTCAGGACCAGCTTGAAATCTATCCAAGGAAGAATATGTGAGAAGAATGAACGAAAAACTCTACTTGAGATGCAGAAAAGCAGGACATAGGATATGGGAGTATCAGAGTTGACCCAATAAGGGATACCAAGAGACGAAAGTGGCTGGAAACAAGCGCTTGTAATTTGAGAAGAAGAGCAACATCCAAGAAAGGATTGCCGACAATGTATTGGCGGAAAAAGACGAGGGTCTCTGTGACAATCCCTCTTCTGATGGTTAGTTCTTAACAATGGGAAACGATACTTCTCTTTTCTTTCTTTTCTAGTCTTACAATAGCTCTAAGCCTATGCCTACATTGCTGATAGTACAAGACCTTTGTCTTCTATCGGGAACACCTATTGTAAGCTTTCTCTAACTCTCCTTCATGAAGTGTTGTCTTTGGCATAACAATAATAGAGGTCATAATATCGATAAAGAGCGTAAAGGTGCTTTATATTTGTTATAGTAATAAGTAGAAAAAGTACTTAGAATTCAATCTAATTTTATTTAAACTCATACCGTCAACACTGACATACGACGGGGCTGCACCAGCAGAGGGATACTGCTAACTAGTATACCACTAATTTTAAGCTAACTAAGTCTATGGCCCCGCACCTACCAGCCCCGAGTCATGCCAGCATG